TTTAACAATCAGGGTAGAGCCAGTTAGAGCAGGCTCCATCACACCCACCCTTGCATATTCCAATTCTTCTTGTATAGCTTTCTCTGCAGTGCATCCTATTTCTAATGCTATAGTGCTAAGACCAAGTGCTTTCTCTTACAGAAATGTTTGGCTACTATTACTATGATTGACATTGACCTCTGAACACATGATGAATTGTCCCAGAGCAAAGACTCCTGTTTCTAAGTTTTATTAACATTAAGTTTCAGAGCTATAACTCAAATGGGGCATCTAGGATGTTTCTTAAGGTTGCTTAAATTTTGACAAATTGCTGATGGCATTTATATTCTTTCCTTATCATAGAAACAACTGAACTTGGCACCCACTTCAGAAGAACAATTTATTAGACAAGGAAGCTCCCAGTTGCCAGGCTTGTTACTTCTCATAGAGCAATTTCTCAGGTTTGCCCCTCCCACCAAAAAACCAAAACAAAGCTGAAAAACCCAAACCCTGAAAACTGAAGTTATAATTTATCTTAAGTTAATTTGAGTTGCATTTTGGCAGAGTGCCCACCATCAATTCCATGTTCAGTTGGGTGGGTGGATAAGAGAGGGAAGTTTCCATCTAATCCTATGAATTCATTTATATATAAAGGCTCCTCCCCACCACTCCCAGTAAGGGAATGCCTTCTACCATGTGTGTCAGCACTTGCTTTGAAATGTAGGTTCTCAGAGAGTTGTCTGGGGACACTTAGAGGTTAAATGACTCGCCCAAAATCATGCAGCCAGTATGTGTCAAAGGTGGGACTTGAGCCCAGGTCTCTCTGACTCCAAGGCCTGCTCTCTATCTTCTGTGCCATGATACATACGTCTTAGGTTTTAAATACATGAGCATTAATGTTGGTTTTCTTTTCCCCCTCCAACGTGATGCAGCTGGCCATATTACTCCCAAGTAGGGAGAACTGGATTAAAATGTAATTGGGAAATATTTAACAAAATAGATAAAACTTCAATTGAACATAGATAAGGTTAACCTGTGGTGTAAGTGTACATTACCATACCAGTACATTACCATAGGGATGTTTATGTATGGCTTAGTGGTCCTATTTCTATTTGAGTTTGACACCACTATTCTATTGTACTTGTTTATAGAAATTAACAAAGAAACTCCCAACTTGATCCCAATAACTTATCTTTAGCATTAGAATGGGGTTATTCTAGGTGGCACAGTGGACAGTGTGCTTTCTGGAGTCAATGAGGAAGACCAGAGTTCAAATCTGGCTTCAGACACTTACTACTTGTGCGACCTGGGCAAGTCACTTAACCCCTATTTGCCTCAAGTTTCTTCAACTGGTGTTAGGGCTTGCCGAGCCATTTTCAGTGCTGCTCATTCACCTTTGGTACCCACCTGGCACTCAACTCTCACCCATTTAATGTCTTTCCTATTCCCACGTTAGCTCAAACACAAAGGTACTAGTGAACTACAGCAAAATGACATTATGTTCCAAGCTTCTAGGACTATTGATCAGGATGCCATTTTAGCTCTCCTAAGGCCTGGGTTATAGGGAATGCAGATCACAATTGCAGACCAGTGAAAAGAATCACATCTTACAACTGTGTCAATTGTTAGGACTCTACCCAAGAAGCCATCATTTTTTTTTTCTTTCTGTTTAAATATACTGCTAGTGTTTTAAGCAGATCATTGCAAAGCTGAGCAGAGTTCAGGAATCGTAGTATACATTGGGCACTCCCTCCCTAATTAGTACTTGCGGTAGGACTATTAGCCTTGCAACAGCTGTATTTCCTGGAGCTATATTTCTAATCTTGTTTCAGTTTGTTTGTTTTGAGGAGAAAAAAATGAAGCCAAAAGCCAGGGTCAGCTAACCCTCTAGACCTTATATTATTCAGTCTTTTACAAATCCTTAACTCCTGGCTCAAGGCTATATACTCTAGAGCAGAGGTCTTCAAACTTATGTGATGGTGATAATGTACCCTGTCACTACTTTTTTTTTTCCTGGTGGGTGTGCTAGCTGTAGTGTGCTCCCTAGTCTTCCTAGCTGGCAATGGGGAAGTCACAGTTCTAGCTGAGGAAACACAAAGTAGCTTCATTCACTGCAAGCCTTGGAGAATAAAAGAAAGAAGAGGTTGGGGGATTAGAAAGAGAAAAAAGAAATGCCAAGGCTATGTAATGGGTCTAGAGGCCTGACTGCCCAGGAACTTTTCTTTGACATCAAGTTCAACGTGAACATTTTATGTAGTAAGTGTTCCTGGCAAATCCTATGCTCTGAGGGGTCAAAACTGAGAACCACAGGAGTAGATTAATTTCAAGGACCCTTCCAACTTTAAAATTTGATGATTATATGAAGAAAAATCAAAATGCTTAATATAATCTCTATGTAGAAGTGTTAGCATTCAGAAGTATAACTTGTTCATTTTAAGAATCCAGGGTAGAATCTGAGTGCTTAGCCCATAGGACTGTTTTGGAATACATTCTTTGAAAGTCTGGCTATTGTTTTGTTTTATATGTATATGTATACTCTTACATATATGTGTATATATATATATATAAGAAATAATTATTTAATGGTAAGAGATTAATTGACAGTGGATGGTAACTTTACATGCTATGTTTTTAAAAGAAGTTTCTTGGTATGAAAGCTGGTTTAATATTTTACAATATTAAATACTCATTATCCAGAATTAAGTATAACTAATCAACTCTTGGAATTTGACTTTCTCATATACATTATAATTACTTAAATATCCTATTTCTTATTTCTAGAACAAGATATTTCTTTTTATGAACAATCTTGTTTTTCTCATGGCAATGCAGATTCTGGCTTTAATTCCCTCCTGTGGGCAATGGACAGAAAACATGGCAGTGACTTACTTCTCTATCTCCTCATAGACAAATGACTTAACTCCTAGGCATGCTTCCACAGGCCATGTAGACTAAAGTAAAAAGCTATGGCTCTGACTATGCTGGCAGGCATAGCATTATATTTAAAATTAGCTGCCTCCTTGTGGTTCCAGTTCCTAATTTGAATTGCCAGTGGTATCTAAAGAAGCATAATTCAGTGCTAAAGTTGCCAGTGTGGAATTATCTTGTTCCTTTAGACTCATAGAATGTTTACATTGGAAAGGTACTTAGCGGTCATGCAATTTCTAACCAATTGTAGGTCCAAATCTCATAGTTCTGCTACTTACTGTATGACCTAAGAAAAGTCACTTTAACCTTTTTTGGCTTGAATCTTCTCATTTGCAAAATGAGAAGGCTGGACTAGATAAGCTCTAAGGTCCTTTCTGACCTTTCAAACCTATGACCAAGTAATTAGAGTAACCAGAACATGTCCAGTAACAGGGAACTTACTACTTTGTCACAAAACAGGTTCTGCCCTAAAAAAAAAAAAAAAAAAGATAAATAAATAAAAACAAAAAAAACCAAATAGACCACCTAGTACAGAAGGGGAAAAATATCTCTATAGCTTTGGGTTTGTCTTTGCTGATGTGCAAATCTGAAATCATCTTTAAATTACCTCCTAGCTCTAAAATTTTGTAATTGCTTTAATCTTCCATAATTTTGAGTAGCTCACAGAATCTAAGACTTTTTTAACTAAAAGGGAACTTAAGCATCATCTAACTTAACCTCATTTTACAGATGAGGAAAAAAACTGAAGCCCAGAGAGGTTTATGTTACTTACCCAAGGCCACAGACACAGTAAAAGACAGGGCCAGGATTGAAACCAAGGTCCTCTGACTAGAGATCCAGTTACATCACACTGTCTTTTACTTACTTTAATGCTGTGAATAATCTAAATGAATCATAATTATCATATAATCAACCATAGTATTATATAATCATAGCACTTACATTTAGAGACAGAAGAGACCTTAGCATAGATTAAAAAAAAATTAACAATATTTTTTACCTGCTTGGAATTTCACATGATTTTGACCTTCAAATCTTTTCAGAAATCCTAGATCACAGTTCTTTGGTTTTTAAGGATGTATGCTCCTTGTAGGTGCCTACAATGCCTACCTGACACATAGTAAACAATTGTTTTTTGTTGATGGGTTGGCTGATTGATTTTCTTTTGTTAAATAAGGCATTTGGACTAGATGACCTTTGAAGTCAATATCCATCCTAATATTACATGATTTAATATTCACCTCTTTTTTTCTTATTGCCAATTAACACCATTTGTTCCAGCCAAACTTCTTAGTTGAAAGGCAAAAGCATAGTTACTTTCTACTTTTATGTATACCACACTTCTATCTATCTTTTTCTGACATGAATAACCTTGGATTTCACAGTTGTCAAGTCCATCAGTCAGTCAACAAGCATTTATTAAGTGCTTATTTTGTGTGAGGCACTGAGCTAAGTGATCTGGATACAAATAGAAACAAAAAGACAGACCCTTGCCTCAAGGAGCTTACATTCTAACAGGGGAAGATGAATGAAAGGGGAGCTAAAAAATAGAGCAAGGGGAGGGAAGAGAAGGTACTAGGTAGGAGGTATGATGGCCAAGCCCAGACAATAAAAGATGACTGATCTGGGCCCTCCCCCAAAATGGAGATTCTGACAAGAACTCACCAATGGGAGAAGTGGTCTACAAGCACTGAGTCAGGAGCAGCTGAGGCATTGCGATGTAGTCATTTTTGACTTTGTAACCTCATTTGGGGTTTTCTTGGCAAAGATACCGGGGTAGTTTCATATTTTCTTTTCTAGCTCATTTTGTAGATGAGAAAACTGAGGCAATCAGGGTTAAGTGACTTGCCCAGGGTCACACAGCTAGTAAATGTATGAGGTCAGATTTGAACTCAGGAAGATGAATCCTCCTAACTCCAGGCCTGGCATTCTATTCACTGTGCCACCTAGCTGCCCTCACTAAAAATAGTTATATAAAAAAATGGTATCACACTTTAAGGAAAATTGAGATGTATTGATTAAAAAATCTCAAACTTTTATAGATGTATGTTTATGTACCTCCCTTTTTAAAATGTCCATTTTTTCCTTTGCAGCAATGATCCAAGAGCAGGAGCTAAAACCCTGGATGTGGAAGCCTTTGAGAAGCTGGCGCTCAATAGATTTACATTTTTTTTCCAGACAAAATTCTGCCTTTATTAACTGCAATGTGGCAATAGCACTCAAAAAAGTTTCCTGCAGACATAGAACATTGAAAGTAACCTCCTAATACTCAATAGAAAAGAGATATACTTCCAGGGATGTTAATAGAGCTTTAATGTCTACCATTAAGTTGACAGTGATACTTACATGTCCTTATATTTAGACACCAAATAAAAGCACATTATGTGTAAATAAAGTAATGGCTCTGATCTCATTTTTAAGAATTTTACTAAATTCACATGTTACATAGTGTTAACTTTTTACTTTACTTTTTGTAATGAGAACTAATTTAAAAAGAAAGAGAGAGACCCATCCACTGTGAGATATCAGTAATGGTCATGGTTCTGTTTATGCACCCCTCCAAACTATCAGCTTTATTAGTTTATTTTTCCATGATAGACATCATGGTACACCCAACTTACAGTGATTCCTAGGGCTGGAGGCATATCTTGTTTCTCAAAAGCACCAAAGGTTTATACAAGACACAGTAGTCAATGACTATAATAATCTATTATTTGATAAACTCAAAGACCTCAGCTTCTGGGATAAGAACTCACTCCTTGACAAAAACTGCTGGGAAAACTGGAAAAGAAACTAGGCATAGATCAAAATCTCATACCATATACCAAAATAAAGTCAAAATGGGTTCATGATTTAGATATAAAGGCTGATACTGTAATCAAACTGGGAGAGCAAGGAATAGTTTACCTCTCAGATTTATGGAGAAGAGAAGAATTCATGACCAAATAGGAGATAGAGAACATTACAAAATGCAAAATGAATAACTTTGATTACATTAAATTGAAAAAGTTTTTTGCACAAACAAAACCAATGCAACCAAGATTAGAAGGAAACTAGAAAATTGGGAAAGAATTTTTACAACCAGTCTTTCTGATAAGGGCCTCATTTCTAAAATATGTAGAGAATTAAGTCAAATTTATGAGAGTACAAGTCATTCCTCAATTGATACATAGTCAAAGGGTATGAACAGGCAGTTCTCAGATGAAGAAATTAAAGTCATCTATAGTCATGTGAAAAAATGCTCTAAATCACTATTGATTAGAAAATACAAATCAAAACAACTCTGAGACACCACATCACACTTCTCAAATTGGCCATGACAAAACAGGAAAATGATAAATATTGGAGAAGATGTGGGAAAATTGGAACACTAATGCATTGTTGGTGGAGTTGTGAACTGATCTAACCATTTTGGAGAGCAATTTGGAACTATACCCAAAGAGCTATAAAAATGTGCGTACCCTTTGACCCAGCAATACAACTTCTAGGGCTATATCCCAAAGAGATCATACAAATGGGAAAAGGACCCACATGTACAAAAATATTTATAGCAGCTCTTTCTGTAGTGGCAAAGAATTGGAAATTGAGAAGATGCCTATCAATTGGGGAATGGCTGAACAAGTTGTGGTATATGAATGTAATGGAATACTATTGTGCTATAAGAAATGATGAACAGGCTGACTTCAGAAAAACCTGGAAAGACTTGTATGGTCTGATGCTGAATGAAATGAACAGAACCAGGAGAACATTGTACACAGTAACAACCACATTGTGTGATGACTAATTTTGATAGACTTAGCCCTTCTCAACAATACAAGGATCTAAGACATCTCCAAAGGCCTCATGATGGAAAATGCAATCCACATCCAAAGGAAAAACCATGGAGTTTGAATGCAGATTGAAGCATACTATTTGCTATTTTTTTTTCTTCTGTTGTGTTTTGTTTCCTCTTTCTAGTGGTTCCTCCTATTGGTTCTAATTTTTACTTACAACATCACTGATGTGAAAATATGTTTAATAGAAATGTATATGTATAGACTATATCAGATTGCGTGCCATCTTGGGGAGGGAGGTGGAGAGAGAGGGGGAGAAAAATTTAGAACTCAAAAGCTTATGGAAGTGATTGCTGATAATTCAAAATAAATTAATTTTAAAAAAGCACCAAAAGTTGAGCTTCAAATTATGCCTGTGTATGACAGAGACATAGACTCTCTGAAACTAGTAGAGAATTTCACCTAAGGGGAACTTTATGAAAACCCTATAAAGGAAAAATGGACTACCAGTGCTAAGTCTTAGGAATTACTCCGTTTGCCAAGTATGTTCTCTTTATAAATGTCTCACTGGTTTTTTATTTTAAGTTTAAAAATACTATATTTCTCCCAAACTCTTCCCTCTGCCTCACTTGCTTATTACTGTTGAGGGAATATTCTTGACCCCTCAGTATCTATCTCTCACCCTGCTTCCCATATATCTAAGCTGTTGCCAAGGCTTGTTGGTTTCATAGCAATATCTTTCAAATACACCTCCCTTTCTCCTCTAATATTGCTATCACCCTGGTGTTTCACCTCATCTCCTCACATTTGGACTACTGTAATAGAATTTCTATAATGCCCTTGTGTATGCAAGGTAAAGTGTGTGTGTGTGTGTGTGTGTGTGTGTGTGTGTGTGCGCGTGTATGTATATGTGTGTTTTGTACCATTTGCTCTTACTATGTGCCTTCTTAGGTAAATACTCCCTTTGAAAAGCTAATTGAAATCTACTTGACTGATATTAATTGTAAACACACCAGGGGCGCTTATAAGAGTGCTGGAAACCCCAGTCCCTCAGGGTTATCCCTAGAATCCTGAAGAGAGTAATTGCTATTCTTTCTTAGTAGACTCGTCCTAAAAATTTGAGTGGGAGTAAAGAAAGTAGCCCTAGAAAGAGTACTACATCTGAATTAATTGCAAGTATCATGCATTCTTAAAGAACAGCCTTTAGGTTATATTTCAGTAGACCTAAGGAAGTCCATGAACTTGGAAAAGAAAAAAAAAAAGTCATTATTTTCACTAACCTCTAATTGAAATTTAGCATTTCCTTCAATTATGAATTTAAGCAACCAACATAATTTTGAAAAAAGTACACAGACTACACCAGACTACCAAAGTGGTCCATGACAAAACAGGTCAGAGGAGTAAGAAGATGGAGAGTCTAAAGAAAGAATTGTGGATGTATGCTAGAAGGCAGATAGAACAAGAAAGAAGCCAACGTGTGTGTGTATAAAGCTTGACTACAAGGAAATGAAACAGATTCCATGATCCAAGTGTGACTATCACTATCCTGCAAATGTGGATTTAGGGAGCCAAGGCTCTTGAGACCCCAAAGGGGTGGCCTTTATGCAGGAACAGAAGCAGTTCTAAAACAGGGATTAGAAAAGGTGAGAGAAAGGATATGTATGCATGTTTATACCTCTGATTTGTTGTTTCAGTCTTCCAGACTCTTTGTGACCCCATTTGGAGTTTTCTTGGCGAAGATACTGGAGTGGTTTGCCATTTCCTTCTCCAGCCCATTTTATAGATGAGGAAACTGAGGCAAACAGGGCTAAATGACTTGCCCCGCTGGTAAGTATCTGAGGCTGACTTAGAACTTAGGTCTTCCTGACTCTAGGTCTGGCACTCTATCTACTACGCCACCTAGCAGCCCACCTCTGGTTTAGTACTCCATGAAATCAAACCAAAAAACCTCGGCCTGTAGTTGAATATCTAAGAAGAAGTAGTTGATTGCTCCTATTAGTTCTCTTACTCAAGTCTTTAACTCAGTCTTAGTGGGTTGCCTGAGGCTGAGGAATATTAAGTTGTCCACGGTCACATTGCTAGTAAATGTCACACCTTCTCACTCATCCCAACACAATCCATTATGAAACACATTATTTCTTATTCTACCTTATCGGAAACAGTGTTTTTGAGTTCCGTGTCCTTTAGCTCTTGCAGATTTTCAGGTCTGTCAATGCAGTGTTTGTCAATTTGCTAATGGCTGCTTGCTTATTTGGAAGAGCCTTAAGAAATCGGATTTTCAGACTGTCAATTTCTATGTAGCTGTTCTCTCCTTGGTGAGGCTTGCCATGACCTTATCATTATGCATACCTTCTAGTGACCATTTTTTTTTGTTTGATAAGGGCTTAATGAACTCTGGACAAGCAAGAAGCATACTGAATATGAGAGGCATAGTTTACTAAATAAAATGCAGACAGTAGACAGGACTCTTGAAAAGTTTCTCTTCTTGATTGGCAGAAAGAAAGATGTGCAATTAGAAAAGGCTTCAGGAAACAAAAATAATGTTTTTTTTATCATCTTAGTGGATTTCCATCTATGAAAGGACCCTTATTAAGTAGAAATTAAAGCAAGGATATTAGAAAATTCCTTGATTAAATGATGATAGACTCAGAGCTGGAAGGGATCCCAGGGGTTATCTAGACCAGGGCTTAGCAAATAACAGCCATCAGGCCAAATCTTGTCTGCTGTCTGCTTTTTTATAGCCAGTGAGCTAAGACTAATTTTTTTAAATTGAAGTCTCGTTTTAAAATTTTAAAATGAAGTCTCATTATATTTGAAAATGTAAAAACCATTTTTACCTCAGGACAAATAAAAATAGGCAGTAGGCTAGTTGCTGACCCCTGATCTAGACCAGTCCCTTCATTTTATGAATGAGTAAACTGAGTTTCAGAGAGGTTAAGTGATTTGCCCAAGGTCACACTGATGGTACTACAGGCAGGATTTGAATCTGGGTTCTCTGACTCCAGAACCAGTGCTCCTTCCAAAAAGAGAGTTTCATGGGTATAGATAACTCACATCTACAAAGATAGGGATAGGGATTGGACCTGTGTTTTCACTGGTCTAGAGGACTCCTTCTATCATTTCAGGTAAGGACATTCTCTGCAGTCTATAGTCTTAGAGAATTATCTATAGCAATGGTTTCATGCTCAAATAGAAATGGGGTAGATCCTTGTCACTACATATTGACTTTGAAAACCACACACTAACATCATCTATCTTTTATTGTATTTTTATTTATTTTGTTAAATATTTTCAAATTTTATTTTAATCTGGTTCCACTTCACTGTTCTGGACCCTAGGATGTGTATTTGACTTCTCAGGTCTAGAGCCATAAGATGTTAAGCAGTTTGCCCAGGGTTACTCATCCAAGTGTTAAGAAATAATTTTTCTTTATCTACTATCTATGCTATTTCTCATCCGTTTTTATATAGTTTTCCAAGG